GCCGAACGCGAAATATCGCGGTTGTTATCGCGATGCGTGTTTGATTTTAAAGCTGGAGAGTTTAAAGATATCACAAAAATTATTCGTTTCGCTACTTTTGCAATGCAACAATATATATAATTTTAATAATTAAAAAGAACCAAAAATGCGCAAAAGATAGAAAACAAAGCAAAAAGATATTTCGGCTCGATTTTCGGGTCCTTTTCAGTTTAATAGAAAGTAATCAGAGAAAAACTGAGAAAATACTGCGCATTTGATCCGCAGTCTTGTTTTTCTTCTTCAAGACTCATACGTTGTGCGATTAATAATTGAAATTTGTAATCGTCTTTACGGAAGATTGATGTATACAGACACCTATACGACCCGAGCGGAAGTATATTGAAATTTTTGGCGCAAGACGTGGATCCAAAGAAGACGTACTAAAGTAATATGACGTGGAGATATGGGGAGTCGGTACACGTTATACGTAATAAAAGAATAAACTCGTTGGTATATAGGATCGTAAAGTTGCAACCGGCTTACGCGCGCGAGTTTGTACGATGTAACGCGGTTTCTCACCCTCCGCTCAACTCCGGTGAATACGCAATATCGTTTCTGTTTTAGCGTCAGGTCCGTATTTCACGTATTCGTCATTTTCATAGTGTATTTATATATACAACGTGAGAATATATCTGTGTTAATATTTATGCGAGAAGCCAGTTTCAGAATTAAATATGTCGTATCGCTAGCTGCTAATCTAAGTAGCATTATTATTTTTTTTAAACGATTATGTTATAAAAAATTAGCGTAATGGACGAATGCAATTTTAATTGCACTTCATAGAAGAAAAAAGGAATTTTACGACAACTTTAACTCGACGATACAAGAAGGTAGCGTCTCGCACTCCCTTAGGGAGAAATAAAACGTGCAAAATACGAGTGTGACAAAGGAACGAAGAAAAGAAGCGGTAAAAAAAGTGAATTTACCGGCGTTCCACCGGTAATATTCGCATACTCGCGTACTAAGAGTCTCGGACTAGCGACTTTAAAAGAAAGAAAAAAGGTATGCTCTCGTCGCGGTTGGGCATCTCGTCCAGTCTGATGGCAAGGCGCGAACCGCGAGGCCAGTGCGGTCTCTGCTCCGCTGTCTGTCATCGTTTCTCGGAACGCGGGAGAAGTGTCTGTTCGTACCTTGAAAAAAATCTGCGCGAGGACGGCAACGGCAAAACCCGTTGTCTTTGTGGCTACCGTTTTCCGAGAATACTTTTAGTTACTTTTAGTTTTACATGCAGACGTCACTGCCGGTCGACGAATGCCGAACCGTTTCCGCGAACGACGCATAAAAGCGCCGATTTACTTTCGCGATCTAATTATCAATCGCGAAGGCAAATCGCGGCGAGGTAATAGGTCGAAAGTTTGCGATCGAATAAACAGATCGACGCAGACTCGAACGGCCGCCGCCGACGAGCGCCGCTAAATCAACACCGGCTGATCTGACTCGCCTGAGCCGTAGCCGGTCAATTATTTGCTCCGAGATTTATGAGTTTGCGCGAAGCCGACAGCGCGGGCTTCTTCGTACAGGTTTGGAGGATCAGCCTGACTTTCCTTCCACTCGATCGGCCGTGCGTCTGCGTCGAGTTCATTTATCTCGAACGCGCGCTATAATGCGCGCTCAAGAATCACTTTTCGCGTTATTAATTGTAGGCTCTCGTACAATTTCTCAATAACTCACGTACGTAATTACCTATTCCGAGTGTCAGCTGCGTTATCCTGCTGACCTCTTAGCCTGCAAGCGTGTGCGCACGCGGCCGAGCGATCATCTTGATTCATAACGCGATTTTCTTGTGTTCTTTAAGCTAGATTGAGAACGCATCTCCAACAGAAATAGAAACCTGCGCGTTTTCTATTCTTCCATATGCTTCCACTAACATTTTAAAATTAAATACAATTGATCTAATAAAAGAATCAATCGGGTCGAGCAATCGTAAGTTGGTAATTCGGAAAATATCGCGCACTAAGATCCGCAGACGAGAAAGCGGGAGCGAAGGCTAGAATTATGAGGAAGGAAGTTTTTATAGTGTTTTTATGTCGTATATATGTGGGGTTTCGGAGCGCCTAAGTCTGTATAAAAAAAAGAATGCACGTACCTCTGCCTTCATCTTATCCGCAACTTAAACAAATTAAAGCGCCCGCATTGCTTTATGACCGTATTCGTAAATAATACAAATCGTCATAAATCTTTGACGCAACATTATTAGAATTATATTATCGAATACTTCCGACGAAAGTTAATCGGATGATCAATCAGCACGCGTAAACATCGCGTGTTTTGTACTTTAAATAATTATGACGCGGTGTTGGCTCGGCGAGGATCATTTGGGTTCCGAAATGGGATCCGCGGAGGCGCGGGGAAGGGCTGGTACCCCGGCGCGCGGTACGAGACCTTCGGGGCCGTAGTTTTAGGGGCGAGCCGGTCGCTTATTGCTCCCCGAGTGGCCGCAAAACGAAGTTTGATCAAATTCTACTGCGCCGGCATAAAACTGACCGGCTGGCCGGCCAGTACGCTGGGTTATGGACTCGATAAATGATTCATCTGTATCTTGGATAAGACTCGTCGTACACCTACACACAGATGCACCGATCGCCTCCGACAGCGCGTCCATGCACGCTCGAGTAACGCGCCGAGCAAAAGAGAGAGAGAGAAAGAGAGAGGGAAAAGGGAAAAGTGACCCTCGTAAGTGACACCGTAGTGACTCTTTTACGACTATATACGTCTCGAATTAAGTCAGAAAGTCTCCGGCCGAAAATAATACTCGTAATATGACGGCGCGGCGTAATGCCTTTTCGCGTAGAAATTTTTTCGATCGCTGAATCTCGCGTATTTTAACTATTTCCTTTTGCGCCGAAATCGCCTCCAAGTTGGACGCGCATTGTGCGAGTTGTATTGCAAAACGGTGGTCCACGATGGCCCAGCCGGCGATCTCGCTTGATGTACGACGCTCTTTTCAATAAAGCCGAACATCTATCAGACTTTGATGCGCGACTGGCTCTAGTCCGTCCATTGCTCGCGGACAATCTTGCAGAAACAATTCCGCAAGATGTCCAAAATGCGACAACCTCTGGCCATTGGGATCCCGGGATTACCGAACTGACCATCTCCTTTGCATAATGACGCCTCGACCCTTCCCCCACGGCTCTATCGTGCTCTCGTTCGTGCGCTCACCCCTCGTTCGAAAGCGCGCATCCCTACCCACACGCATATGCCACCACCTACCATCACTGAAATTCCACGAAGTGCAATAACAATAATATCTCTATATGACGGCTGGCCGGCGGGCAGCTCGTGCCGATATTTTCCAGACTGCACGTGAATTTCATACATAAAAATGTCCGCTCAACCACCGGATCAACATTCAATTGTATCGAAATTATGGAAGAGTCCTATTTTCTTTCGCATCGCGCTAAATCCAGACCGAATTTGATGCGCGCTTCGTAATATCTTCAGAAGTCTCCGACTCGGGAAGCTTTACCGCGCGGAATCCTCGTGCGCGATACGACGGAATCGTATAAAGACGAATGAAAACTCGGACGGAAAAAAATGCCTCTATTGATACCTTCGGATTTATCCGGATAACGAAAATGTAAATGACAAATTATATTCGCTTAGTTGAAACGTCCTCGAAAATTATAGACGGCGCCGCAACTTTACGCGACCTGTTATTCTTTCCCTAATTTAAATGTCAAAGAAAATTGTTTGATTATTTGCTATGCAAATGAAATTGTTTAAGATGAAACTGACTTAAACTGATGCGGTGGGATTGGGGTTTAACGGAAAGGAAGCTCGGATAATTCGGACGCGATAATTGGATCAAGAAGTCGGATCGCGGAGCGATCCTCCTTCGGTATTCCGCGAGGGACACCGGCTGTAATTATGCTTCTCGAATTTAGATCGCGTGTTCCTAATAACGACGTGATCCACGACGAACGCTAAGCATAACATGTTACTTCATAATTATTTAATATTCTAATTATTGCAGTCAGTTTAAAAAAAATATCCTTATTATGTTTCCTTATTATAGTAATTACATGTGTGCATAAATGTATTGAGGAACAAAATACGTTTTATCTCACGTTTACGTTTCGTGTTACCGCAACGTGCCATGTACTTGTTACAAGATATTTTAAATGTTATAAATAATATTTAATATCATTCAAAAATATTCAATGTATAATAAATGTGTATTAAACGCGCAGTTGCGAAAAATTACTTTTAATATAAGTATTTAGAATCACTTCTGAATTTTTATTAATTGATAAAATATTAAATTATAAATATTTATCTTGTCAATTAATAGCTATTACTTTTTAAATAATTATTTAATCTACTATCTGATTTTTATTTTTAATAAAAATGCAGAAAAATTGCTAATTTCCATTATAAGATACTTTATCTTAATTATCCACAAACTATTAGTAAATGAAATATTAAACGAGTTAACAAAAAATATTTTTAAAATATAACAATTTGCAGGCAAATAAATCAAAGTATCTCAAATTAGAAAAAATCAATATTTTCACGCAAAATTAAAAAAGACTAAAAACTTGTTCCGCCGTGCGAATAATAAGAAAATAATAGCGGGTAAATAACAGTGCGCGACCGCCGCGTTAGATCACACAAATTGTAAACACTACTGACGTCACAAATTTCTCCGGAATACCAACGCGTACCTCGGTGGTGATAAAACATGTTCATTAAGTAACAAAAATGTAATTCTAAATATATTTAAATTAATCTCTTACTGCGTTTGGCTCATATACATTATTATGCATTTAATAAATTTTATGCTCAAACGATAAAAATTTTCAAATTTTTGGATCTAAAATTTCGGATCAAACTATTTGAAAACTCTTTCAGTTCGAAGGTAAACAATTTAACTTCCGATTTCGAGATCGGAACTATCTAAATTATTGCTCTAAAATTTCCGAGCAGTGTGAATAATAAATAAATGATAAATTACTAACCTCAAACCTGCAAAGTTGCAATGTTTCAGTTCCACTCATGTCCAATGTCTCTTGGATCTACTTCTCCTTTCAATAATACATTGATAACTGCTTCTTCGTAGCACTTATTCGCGAAAATATGACGATCGCGTGATATTTTATACGGTACTACTGATATCAATCGACGCGAACTTTGTCGTATGACAAAGGAAAATCTCGAAAAAAGAAAATTGCACGAAGCAACAATTCGTTCGACACTCGAAACATCGGAAGCAAATAACGACAGCAGGAGAAAAACGAAAATGTCGCAATTCATTTTGTGTACTACCTGTCCTGCAAAACTCAAAGTATTTTCGTAAACTATTGTGCTCTGATATTTAAAAAACAAGATAGATTTGCATGTTTAAAAGTGTTTAGTCTCTTTTATCTCATAGTAACAAATGAACGTATAAATATGTACGTATTACAATTACATTACTAATTACGAGAGATAATTACCGAGTAAATTAGCAATTAGCAAATAATCTTAAAATATTTTTCATGAATTCCAGTGTCGTCTGTTCCGTCCTAGTGTCGCCATGCGAATAATAAGAGGATAATAGCGCGAAAATAACAGTGCGCGACCGCCGCGTTAGATCACACAAATTGTAAACACTACTGACATCACAAATTTCTCCGAAATACCAACGCGTACCACGGTGGTTGTTTTGAAATTCTTTCTCTCTCTCTTTTGTATATATGCGCACTGTTCATCATTGTTATTACCTTGTTATTCGCACACCGACACTCAAGGAAAAGAGATGGCAACGGAAATCGCTTTAATCGTATCGTGACAATTATTATAAGATTATTTGCTACAAATAATGATTCACTGCTACGATTAATTAGCCGCAAAAAGCAACTTAAACATTTTATTCCGCGCAAATATATACCTCAATTATTACTTGCGCAATTTTTAATTTTCTTCTGCCATCGTTGTCCACTTCCGACGCAATGAGTGTCGGACGGGTCATAATTTCGTGCAATTTTCTCGAATTTCTCCTTTGTCTTGATAAAGTTCACGTCGGTCAATATCGGTAGTGCCGTATAAAATATCGTGCAATTATTGTATTTTCGCGAGTAAGTGCTACGAAAAAGCAGCCATTGATGGACTGCTGAGAGGAGGAAGAAGTCCAGGGGACATCGGCGGAGCAACTTTATGGTAAGGAATTTATCATTTATTTATTTATTTTTTTATTTGCGCGTAAAATATTAATTGTTCATTGCTACTATGGTTATATTACACGATTTTATGTTATTATGTAATGCAATATATATCTTTTTGTATTAAATATTGATTTTTGAGACAAAGAAAAATTTAATGTAGCTATAATAATTTTTAAATCATTACTTTGAACACTAATTGCACGTAAATATATTTGTATTTTGCAGATCAACAAGTGAGTTACAACTCTGCTGCTGCGTATCGTCTATTGGTGAATCAACATCATATTTTTATTTTAATCTTAAAGTAATGGATCTGCAAAAATGATATAAGATACTCATGGATTATAAAACTACGAATTTTACATTGACAATATTTAAAAATATTATAAATATAAATAAATATAATATCAAATATAATGATATTTTTATCAATTTATAGTACAAGTATAATAAAACATAAATCCATTGCATTAAAATGTATGAAATAAATTAGAGATACAACGCGAAAAATAAAATAGCAAAAGGAAAAATACGGAAGTTTGTCTCTAGCAATAAAATTTCAAGAGAAAGTCTTGTTTCAACTTTAAAAAATATCAATTCGTCAAGAAACACATCGATATGTCTTGTCAATAGCGAGATTTTCATTATTTACGTTCCTGTTCTTTGTTTCTGTAACTTCGTTTATCGCGAAGAATGTCTCGAGGGTAGAAGCAACAGTCACCCTTTCTCGACTACCGCTATTTCTCTCACTCGAGAGCACTCAACGCAATCTGCTGCGTGGAATTTGCATACATAAGCTATTAAGCAGCTCTTTTCATTTCCTCCCGTTTATGACAGTTTAGTTAGAGTAATGTTTTACAAGATTGCCCCGCGAATAACGTTCTTTATAATGACATTTCTCTATCCGATTAATACTCGTTTGTTATCAACGTGTCATTCACTTATGTAAATCTTTAAAATATTAAGTGCCATTTATATCTTACGATTGAAAGTATTTTTATAAAACTTTTGATCTCATATTTGATGAAATATATAGATCAGAATAAGCTGACAAGACAGCATCAACAATATAAAATGTAGGTATACGAATTCGCGCTTAAGCTCGACATACGATATTTACTGATATTTTCAATAATTCAGACATAACACTGTATTATATAATTTATAGTCCATTGCTTATGAATAACCGTTCCTCCCGTAACGCATGTGTCCCAATCTTAAGTAAGATTTATATCACTGTCGCTTGTGCCGTTGGAGCTACACCTATCTTCTTTTTCGCGAAAAAAAAAAACAAAAAGCAATATGGCACTATAATTCTGATTTCGTTTCAGCTCTCGTAAATTTATTCGCAAAGATTATTAACGCGTCGATCAATATTGTCCGAGAATTAAATGAAATTAGTTAGAAAAAATTATAATACAATAAATATTTCAAATCAATATCAATAAATAATTCATTATAGAATCAAATAGCGCGCAACGATAAAAATACTGCCGACTGGCACGAACGAGAGGTGTAGATATTAGCCGCGTGGTTATATAAGCCATTACGAATTAAAGAATCTTTTTATTGCAACATTTTTAATTACCGTGAAACGACCGGAAATTTTTTATCTCCCTACAAGACTACCGGTCGTCCCGCGTGCGCATCGGCCGGTTTCTTCCCTTTACGAGCTGCGAGAAAACGCAGGGTGCTAATTAAACGAAACGTTTGGAATGCCTGGGCGCATTGGATCGGATAAAAGGGGATGTTTTAGCTCGAGCACCTTTCCATTCTTTTATCGAAATCGCATTCTTCTGCCCGGAAAAGCGTATTCAAAAAGACGAGACAGGATATCATCTGTGTATTCCGCGACAAGTAAACACCGAGCAAAAATGCAATTTTTCTCCCTTTCTGGAACCTGTTCGAATGAACATCCACGACGCACCTCTTTCTCTCGCTCTTTCTCGCGCCTTAAATACGTAATTTAAGCGTCGTGTGAGTTCTCTTGCTGCGCTATTCAAAAGCTCGAGAAAGCATTTCCATATATTTACAATTCTATAGTGCACTTTTATACTGTCATACGACTCGAAAACACTCCTACTATCGAACTGGATATAATTGCAGTTTTTGTGAAGATTATTCTAAAGCGGTAACAAAGTTGTGTTCTTCAATTTATTTAAAGCGTAATGTGCACTGTATATTTAATAAGTAATATTGCAAAATTTTCTACTTCCTAAAGGCAATTGAAATTAACGATATAAGAAAATTGAGTGGAAAGGTTATTAGCAGATAAAGCAATCTGAATTTCAGATAAGAGTGAGAGTAATAAAATAAAATTCAAGATACAAGTTAGCGAGCTCGTAAACGCATGACGATGAAATATCGCTAAGTGTTGTACAAAGAAGCATAACGTCGTTGTTTCAAGCTGCTCGGGGAGCCCCTTCCAATTAAAGCGACGTAATATATGCATCGAGTTTGTGTCTTGTGGCAAAAGGCGTGGGGGTAGCTATAAGGAGACGATGGCCGAGGGTTTGATTCAAGATGAGACGTCAAATGTTACTTCGAAGGGCGGAGGCAAAATTCTCGGTGTCAATTCTCAGAGCAATCTGCCGATGCAGATTAGGATGTTGCCGGTCTTAGTTGATCCTATATAAGATTCGCTCCCTCCCTCTTACGCCGGGATTAATTGGGGTGAATTGTCCTGCCGCATCCATTAACGTCGCGGGTTTAATCCAAAAGTAAAAACATAGCCGACTGATCGCCATCCAGGCGCTCTCGCGCTCGATTGCGCGCACTCAAATAACGTCGCGATAAATTTTTTTCTTTTTTCGTGAAGAAAAATCGCGCTTGAATCCGCAAATGTCGTTTTCGCGTTACGGAAATTTCCCTCGATCTCTTGAAAATAATAACAAAGCAGTATGGAGATCGTGCGCGTGTGGTAACAGTTTCCGTACGTACGAAAATACCGCTATAAACGCCATGTAAACGTGTATCTATGAAAATAAGGTAGAAACTCGAAGGTCAATATCTGTCGGCTTCATCGCAATGTACCGCTCTTTCCAACACCAAATTGCTCTCTATCCCGCGGCTATAATAGCAATCGTGCATATGTCCGCGTTTTATCTTCGCCGATCGTTTCGCCGATCTTTTTATGCCTTTCTAAAAAAAAAAAGAACTCTGGGAATATCGACAATAAATATCGTATCTTATCCTTCCGATGTCACGTCCACTTTCGTGACAGACTCGCGATTGTTATTGCAAGAATTACGAGATAAGCGCGGCTGCGAACGGACGCGTCAGCGCGCAGTGGCTATTCGGCATGTGGGATCCCGGGGGGTAAAAAAGGGTTTTTGGGGGTGCGAGTCGTTAAGGTCA